GGGGGGGGCAAGATCAGGGAAGTCAGAGGCGGGCCCGCAGCTTCACGTCATCAGAAGGGACCCAGGTCTCTTCGAACGACGTCCTAGAGCATCCCCTCCGCGAACAGCGCCAGCAGCGGGTGCTTCAGATCAGCTGGTACGCAAATCCACGATTATCCAACTGATAGGTGGTGCTAAAAATCCAACCAGAAGTGAAAACAGCGGCGGCCCGACGGGTAAAAGGTTGTAACAAGAATGACGATGGTGGACGTGGAAAGGGAATCGCGCTGGACGGAGCTCGAGAGACTCAAACAGCAAGGTGAGTGCTGGGCTGTTGAACAGTAATGTATGTGCAGGATGGATTCTTCGCTTGTTGTTTCCCTCACCCCGACGGATAAGCCATTTGCCGAACCATTTGAGTAATTTCTCTCCGCAGCGTGAGCACTAAGCAGGCGCGTTTTGCTGGTGGCACGTTGCCAGACTTTTGGCACGTGCCCTGGCGACGCGGTAATTCCCCCCTGAAACGATGATCGTATAACCAGAAAGCCGAAAACCGGTCAGATGGGGGTTGGTTGTATGTAGGGGGCAGGTAGGCAGGTATCTTCGTTGCCCTATAAGCGACTATTTAAAACGTTTTCCCGCCTCTGGTAGGTGACTGGCAGGGTGCGTTGGTGGCGTGCTCGGCGCGCCACGACCCCCTGCTCCTGTGGCTGCAGCCCACCAGGGACGTCCTGACGTTCATCGGGGAGGCGGCCCGTCGCCTCGGCATCCGCGATGTGGTCAGCGTCGGCTGCGGCTCGGGTCTGTTCGAATGGCTGCTGGCCAGCGCCACTGGTGAGTAGAAGCACGAAGCACCCTCCTTTGCATTCGGGGCACTGCTATATGGGCCACTCATCTCTTCGGTATGCAACCCGCCTAAAGAAAGTAAAATGCATTATCGCCCCCCCCCCCCCATTTCGGGGGAAGGCAGCTTCGCTTCCAACCACATTTGGTCATCAGAACACACAGGGTGGTCCATAGACCCCTTCCTTTATGTAGCTTATACTGTACCGGATGCATGCATGCGACCGGGTTGCATACTCGCACGGGGCCATATAAGGCACCGTGGTGAGGGACGGTAGGCAAGCCCGCCCGCACGCCTGCATGCGGTACCGTAAAAGCAAAATAAAGGGAGGGGTCTGTGGACCACCCTGTACTTCAGCTTCCAAATCACATTTAGTGCCAGGAAAAGTGAATCACCAACACCCGCTTTTCGTGTTAGTCGGAATCCAGCCAGGGAACTCCCACGGCCCGCTCTCGCCGTGAGTCCGAACCCCGGTTCCAGAGCCGAGTCATTGCTACCTTCGACGACGCAGTGACACTAGGATGGTAGTCTACCGAAGGCGGTTCGAATCTCCGTCAAAGTGATTTTTTTTCTGGCCTCAAAATTTTGAGTGGAATTCAAACGCGTCATTTCACCAGGCCTCCCTCGTGGAGTTGGTAGCCGGGCGTGTTAAAGCGTGATCGTTGGCAGGTCGTGGGGATGGTCGGTGGTTCGAATCCCGTCCGCCATCATTTTCCCTCGTCTGCTGGCCAAGTGTCTTCGGGCGTCAGATGGGCCGGTGCAAACAGTCGCTGGTTCGAATCTAGACGACGGAACCCTTTTGTCCCTCTGCGAGCCATACGTTTCGAGGTGTGAGCCACAGCGGAGATAAGCTTCAACTATGCAAAAGCCTCATTGGCTCAGTTGGTAGAGCGCGCGCCCGGGACGCGTATGGTCGTGGGTTCGAATCCTGATCGAGGCTCACTTTTTCCCATTTAGTAGTTTGCGGCGCGGGGACCAAGGGTTATGACAAAAGACCAGCCGACATGGGGAGGTGGACTTGACCGCCTACTCAGCAGCCCCCCCCCCCCCCTACCAAAAACAAATCAAAAAGTTCGCCCGGACCGGGACTCGACCCCAGGGCCGACGGTGTCATGTGCTCCACGACCCAGCGCGCTCGCCACTCGGCTGTCGGCTCCACTTGACAGCAGAGAGGTCGGGATTCGGTCCTGTTTTACGAGTCTTGTTCTCCTGGATTGCACGCGTCCACGGTGGGTCAAGTCCACCTCCTCGACGCGCTGAAGCCCGGGTCAACTCCTGGCCAGAAACAAGGAAAATAGCCACTAAAAGAGCCCCATAATCGCGAGGAGGTTAGGTTAGGCTAGCAGAGAGTACATTTATTGGCCTTTTTGCCAGAATTTCGACCCGGGCTGCAGCGCGTCGAGGAGGTGGACTTGACCCGCCGTGGACGCGTGCAAATCAGCAAATCAAGGCCATTAAAGCAGGACCGAGTTCTGACCGTTCCGTCCACAGGAGCAGCTGCCAGCTGAGTGGCGAGCCCGCTGGTGAGTGGCCCGGAAACCATCTGCCCAGGGATCGAATCCCGGCCGTGGAACTTTTTTTCCGCTCTGTTAGCCAGCGACCCGCGACACACCCACAGCCGAGACCCCCAACTCCCCCAGACAGGACCAACAGAGCGGAAAAAAAGTTCCACGGCCGGGATTCGATCCCTGGGCAGATGGTTTCCGGGCCACTAACCAGCGGGCTCGCCACTCAGCTGGCAGCTGCTCCTGTGGACGGAACGGTCAGAACTCGGTCCTGCTTTAATGGCCTTGATTTGCTGAATTGCACGCGTCCACGGCGGGTCAAGTCCACCTCCTCGACGCGCTGCAGCCCGGGTCGAAATTCTGGCAAAAAGGCCAATAAATGTACTCTCTGCTAGCCTAACCTAACCTCCTCGCGATTATGGGGCTCTTTTAGTGGCTATTTTCCTTGTTTCTGGCCAGGAGTCGACCCGGGCTTCAGCGCGTCGAGGAGGTGGACTTGACCCGCCGTGGACGCGTGCAATCCAGGAGAACAAGACTCGTAAAACAGGACCGAATCCCGAACTCTCCGCTGTCAAGTGGAGCCGACAGCCGAGTGGCAAGCGCGCTGGGTCGTGGTGCACAAGACACCGTCGGCCCTGGGGTCAAGTCCTGGCCCGGGCGAACTTTTTGATAATTTTTTTGGCAAGGGGGGGGGGGCTGCTGAGTAGGCGGTCAAGTCCACCTCCCCATGTCGGCTGGTCTTTTGTCAAGTGGAGCCCTTGGTCCCCGCGCCGCAAACTACTAAATGGGAAAAAGTGAGCCTCGATCAGGATTTGAACCCACGACCATCCGCGTCCCGGGCGCGCGCTCTACCAACTGAGCCAATGATGAGGCTTCTGTATAGGTGAAGCTTGTCTCCGCTGTGGCTCACACCCTGACACATATGGCTGACCTGACAGAGGGGAAAAAGAGTTCTGTCGACTAGATTCGAACCAGCGACTTTTTGCGTACCGGCCCATCACATCAGGTGTCGCATGGCAGTGAAGTCATGGCCAGCAGAGCGCGAAAAATTCCACCCGGCCGAGATTCGAACCAGCGACCAGATTCATACCGGGCCCGGACGCTACCGACTGGGCCACGACGGGACGATACAGAGCTAAACTTTCGGCGGCATCCAGATCTCAGCTGTGACTGACGCCCGAAGACACTTGTCCAGCAGAGCAGGAAAAATGATCGCGGACGGGATTCGAACCACCGACCATCCCCACGAACTGCCAACGATCGCGCTTTAACTCGCTCGGATATACCAGCCTGCCCCTCTTGGGGCTGGGCGGGCTGAGGTCGGCAACCGGCGGGCCGGGCGGGCAGCGCTGCGCGGCGGGTCGGCCTACCTCAACAACGGCAGGCGCGCGGGCAGGAGTGGAGGTCGGGTGTCGCATGTGCCTCTCGATCGGAAATAAGAATCTGATTAGTGCTGTGGTTGTGGTAGCTGTGGCCACGCCCTTGTATGCCACGGTGTAAAACAACGCTGTTTTTCTGCCGGCGCGTCCAGGACTGCAAGTGAAGGGTCTGGAGGTGAACCGCGGCTGGTGGGAGAGCCGCTACTCGCCGCCCACATTCCTGAACCTCGTCTTCCCGGATGATGATCGCGATCGCTCGGCAGTTGAGGTGAGTTTGTCTTCTTATATCCGGCGGCTAAAAACCCTCTAGATGAAAAATATCTCAATATGTTTTTCGACAGTCTCCTAGAGAGTGTCTCCACCATAAGGAAAAGCCCTCCCCCTCCCCCCTTCCTCTCCTTGCTATCTACTGCGCAGAGCGAGCGACTGGCGAGTGTCATTATGAGTATTTTTTTTTTAGCCACATCGACAATGACTATGCCCCGCCGAAGGTAATCGGCCGCATTCTTTTTGTTTTTGCGACAGGAGGCACTGAAGGGCCGTGAGGACGTCGGCATCATGTTCTGCTACTTCAACGACACGTCCGCCTTCCTCGAGTACATGCGCGTCTTCAGGGGCCGCGTGCTGGTGGTGGCGGGGCCCGGGCGCGGGTGCACGCACGCCACCTGCCACCCCCAGCCCTTCTCCACCACCATACCCGCGCCCTGGGGGCTGCACTCCTCCACCCCCATCGGCAACACGGGAGATTTCGTGGCCGTGTACACGCGATGAATGCGAAAGACTACTTACTTGGGCCCTGGAGTTCTATTCATTCCATTTTCGTTCAAGGAATTCTACCTCCTTTATCATCATCATCATCATCATCACCAATATTTTGTGTCGTTCTTTTAACATCATCTCTTTTATAGGTTCTGTATAAGTAACCGTGATTAAAATTTCACGCTCTGCTGTTCAGGAGATGTAAAACACAACATCATAAATAAAATGGTAAAAATAAAAAAATCTTTATTTTAATAAGTTACTTATGTCACAATGAGACAATGGACATTTAGCTTGAACAGATAGAGAGAGAAAGATAGTAGGAAAGTATTAATTATAAATAGCTTAAAGAGTAGCGTTGGGAAACTATCAATGTAATATACCAAACATTCAAACTACTACCAAAGCAGTCATTGTGGGCACAGTACGTAACCACATATCTCCTACCTTATACTTGTGGCTGAATAGAATACATATGTTATACAATGAACACAAAAAGAAATCCTACAGTGAATGTTTAAGAAATCTCACATAAGATACACTAAGACAAATAAGCAAGATTTAAATGTGTACAGACATGAGTAATTTAAAACTGAACCTAAATCAACATGGGGCAATGACGTAGTAGTTAAATATAATTGATACATTTATAGATAGTACAATTTAGTTCCAGCAATCATCACAAAAGTTTAATCATGGAGAAAGAATTGACCACATTGTTATCACAGTTTCATCAGATATCATTGCTGCTGGAAAATTAAAATGGAAGTGGTATATATGTGATGCTGATAATTTACATCATTCTAGCAAAACATGGTCACACACATTGGATTTTGAGAAAATTGTGTGCGCGTACTAAGTGAAAAAAATTGTGCTTGTTCAGCACAGGCTGCCTGGCAAAACTTTTCAGTAAACCTTGAGAAACTCATTGAAACAGTAAAATAACTTGTTGATTTTAAATCCCAGCAAACACTAGGTTTCTCTCAGAAACTCTGAATTGCCAAAATACTCAGACCAAAGTTAAGGAAAAGACACTGTCAAGACTTCATTCATTGTGTTGAATTTAAACATCAAATGAAACTGTTATGGCATGTAGTACCTAGAATCGAGTCATATCATCTAATAAAACACAATGAAGGTGGCACAACTTATATTGAAATTGGCTGAATAAACAATGTCATATGAAAAGTATAGTTGAGCTGTGAGATAGCAAAAAACATACTGTTCTCCTGTTCATTGTTAAAAGACCCACGGAGGTCAGTTTTCAATGAAAATTAACACTGATGGAAAAATCTGAACTTGTACTTGTAGAAGATTTACCGCACATACATATAATGAGCAAATGCTGACAAACCTACGTAATACAAAATAATTGTCTGCAGTGGTCTTTTGGGAGAAATTGTCCCAAGCAAACAAAATTTGAATTAAATTGTAAAACTCCTTTTTCAGATAAGGCAATTGTGAAATGTTTTTTGTTTTTGTTTTTTACAAAACCAACGAAAACAGACTGGAAACAACTGGTGTTTGGTCTGAAGTGATGGAGGTATCACTAACTGACTATCAATCCCAACAAATATTTCACAGCCACAAAATTCATCCATGAAGCTTTTTTAAAAAAAAAACATAGTGGCTTTCTTGACTGCCTAGTAAAAGAAATTTCAAACAATTTTAAACAACTTTCAAAACTACAAGGAAAAAAAGTGGAGCAAAGACATTTTGGTCAGAGTTCTCATCTTGTAGTACAGAACAGTATTGATTGGTATTGAAGGAGACTTCAGAAGGCTTTATAAAAAGCTGACTCATTTAAACATAAGTAGATTTCAATTACGATCAAGGTTCGCCATAAACGGTTAGGATTGCAAAATGTACCGGGTGTCCAGTGTCCGGGCTAAGACATGGCAGCACGTTGGGTTGCCTATGGACTGGCTGCAGGGACTGCAGGCGCGGGACGGGTGGCGGGGAAGTGGCAGCTCCCCGACCACTCCCCCGCCACCCGCCCGCGCCTGCAGCCCTTGCAGCCAGTCCATAGGCAACCCAACGGGCTGGCATGTCTTAGCCTGGACACCCAATATTATTTGTTTTCAATTTTTGCTTAAAATTCATTCACAGTGACCAGCCAAAATTATTCAGTTATAAATGCAGAATAGCTGACATATATACAACACGAGTTCTTCCATTAAAGTAGTCATCGAAGAATTTACAAATATGTCTGATAGTATTAAGTCTCCCAAAATGATTGAAACAAAGAAAAGACAAATAGTAACTGCACTAGGCAAGGCACTCTCTTACTTTTTCTTATAAACATTTCTTGATAAAATAATTGATAAAGATAAACTTAAGATTTTCACACCGCTTAAACAATCACAGATTCATAAAACAGATGACCAACATAGCACAAAATGTCAACACAACATTTACCACATAACATACACAAGCCTTTTCTTAGAAATCAATGCTCCATGCTTTATCCAAATCGTTAGTTTTCCTATCCATATCCAACCTCTTTCCCAATCTCTAGCATGACTCAAATATGAACAAAAAACAAAAACAAAAACAAAAAACATAATGGAAGAAGAGGATAAGGATAGTACATGGATGAAAAAGAATGAACTTCACAACTGCATAACCAACTAAAAAGTAACAGGCAATAGTATTTGAAATACTATTCACATTAAAAGAACAGCTAAACTGCAAGCTTAAGCAACAGATTGCACAAAAATCACAATATACTAATAATTAAAAAGCACTATAAAGGTAAAATTAACACAGCATAATACATATTACATGCACTGACCATTACATCATCAATTCAGACAAAACCTGATTTTACTTGGAGGAAGTATGCAAATGTCACTTTGCAGTATACAAAAGAACTACAGCCAATGACCAATATCAGGTGGTAAGTATTGTGTGATACTAGGTAATTTTTGTAATTTGACTGTTTTCATTGGCTGTCTGTTCTACAAAACACCTCCATCATAACTGGTAGCAATTTGTTTGATGTTGTATTTTTCAAGCTCAGAATACTGCAATAAATCAATAGCATTATTTTCTACAGTAGAGTAACAGGCTGCTGACTCAAGTGTATACAGAAATATTCTCTTCACCATAGAATAGGTACTCTTTGACATAAATATCTTTCCAGGTTGTTATAAAATATGACCAGAAAATGTAAAACAAACATACAAAGGAACACACTGAACAAGAAAAAAATAACTGTGGAATGAAATTGAAAATTGGTATTTGATATAAAGGATTTAACAATTCCCCCCTATTTTTGTCTTGAAGTGGACAGTCTATTAGCTGACCTACAATGAGCACCAAACATTGAAGTTGCAAATAAGTAATTACGTCATAACATAATGATTAACTATGTATGACATTAATAGAAGAGATTCACAACAAGACTCACAATGCAAATAAACGGCCCTTGAAAGTTGCATACCAAAACCATGATTGAATTTCAATAACGTTGTGTCTACAACACCAGAATTACAATTGGGTATGTACATACAAGTTAATAAATCTCCGTATGGCTGAATAAGTAGAAATATTCTCTACCTTGTAGACTCCCAAGAGATGGAAGAATAAAAAATGGATCCCTATTAATTTTTGAAGCACAACTAATTTGATCTTAGCATATTACTAAAATCCATTCTTCATAAAATAACACAGCAACGACAAACACGTTGGCGAGTACTTCCAACAGCTGGTGGAGGTGTTGCTGGGGCAAAATATGCATGAACCAAAATGTTGGGAAGATTACTCTGCCAAATGGAAAAAAAAGGTGAAAATTGAAAACCGTAGCTTTACACATTATTTTTTTAAAAATTGGTTGACATATTCAAATACTCACCCTCAGTCTGCGAATGCCTGTGTGAGTTATCAGTTGACAGTCATACAAATCAATGCGTTGCAGGTTGTGACAAGATACAAGATTATCCAATGAGGCATCAGTTATTAAAGGGCAGTTGTCTAATTCAAGTACTGTTAAGTTTTCTGCAGCGCAAGGTGACATTCCCAGATGCCTTATACCTTCATCAGTTATTAATTCACAATGAGATAAACTCTGAAAAATATAGACAATATGTAAATGCTATAATATCCTTATAACTTTGGATGAAATTATCACAGAGGTAAGTAAATTAAATATAGCTAGGCTTATTAGAATACTTACAAGTTTTTCAAGTCTTGGGCAACCCATTCCAAGATGCATAAGTGTGGTGTCTGTTATTAAAATACACTCCTCAAGGTCCATTTTTTCTAACAGTCTGCAGCTCTACAAAACAATAAAAAAAACACCAGGCCATGAGAAATAATGCTTGATTAATGATTAGTCAAAACACAAAAAAAGAATAGGAGTCAATTAAAGCTTACCCTTGCTAAAGCTTGAAATCCTGCATCTGTAAACTGTGAGCACCCAGCTACCTCTAAAGTACTCAGCAAATGACATTGTTGAGCAAGAACTATGAGGGATGCATCACTAAGCATAGTACACCCTGACAGGCACAAATAATGCAAACCATGACAGTTTTCAGCCATGCGAAGAACAGACTCATCAGTGATGTTCTGTTGGGAAAAAAAAACAAAAATAAATTTCCTCATAATCAGTTGACTCATAATTTCAACTTACACTTGCAACTTATAGTTACTTACAACACAGCCGGATAAGTTGACAACCTCCAGATTTGGGCAGTGCTCAGCTAAAACGCTAATAGCAGAATCATTGACTCTTGCACACCCCATGCACATAAAAGATCGTAACTTTGGACACCCTCGTGCAAGTGCCTCAATGCCTACAATCCAAAACACAAGGTGAAGATAGACAAAATGATATTGCCACATAAGAAAGAAAATTTAGAAGTATTTTACCATTTTGAGTGACATTTTCACACCATGCTATGTTAATATGAGTAAGTGATGGACAACCATCTGCTAGAGCTTTCAAGGACAAATCAGTTATTTCAATACATGACCGTAAATCCATACGCTGTAGTTTTGGACAATGTCTGCTCAAAGCCTGACATGTGCTGAAAAATGATGTAATATAATATTGTATTAGATTCACATTATGAAATGCACCATATTGATGAAGATGTTAACGGCATACCTATCTGTTATTTTTTTGCATCCATCAAGATTTAAGTCTTCTACGTTATTGCACAACTGCGCAAATAATTTCATAGAACCATCTGCAATAGATTGGCAACCCTTCAGGCTTAGCTTTCTTAAGAAGCCACCACATCTCCGAGAGATGTTCTCAATGACTGGACCCTACAAAAGGAAGAAAGGTATCTAGTAAATGTATGTAGGCAACAAAACATACAAAACACACTGAGAAAATTACACTATAAATTACCTCAACATCCCGCTGGAAGTCAAATAGATCAATTCGCTGCCAGTTGCTACCATCAAGGGCCAAAATATTCCAAGCCTTTGAAACTTGAGCACTCCGGCATAGTGATACCACATCCAGCCAGGAAAATATCCTTTTGTTGTGGTTTAAAGAAAGGATTTCATTAAAAGCAGGCTTAAAATTATTGTAGTATTAACAATCTCGCCCCAAAACTCAAATTTTAAGATATAAATCTATGAACATTTAGTATTGAAATGCCATTTACCTAAGTAATAACTCCTTTGGAAGTTTCTTGTTAATTAATGCTTCTTCCTCCATGAACACCCGTCTCAACTGTAGATGAAAACACATGATTAATAGAAAGTTAACTGAGCTGCTACATTTAGTTTGCTGACTAAATACTAAAAGGAGAAAGCAATTAGAAAAAGAAACAAACAAAAAACCATTTCTCTCATAAGGCTAACATTTTTGAGAAATTGACAAAGGACAGGGTTGAAGAAAATCTGCAGGCAGATAAATTAAAAACTGCTACCAATTTTAATAAATAAGCTGCTATTTGAGAAAAATGACCCCTTAATTCCACTTATTATTCCAAATTAAAAAAAAAATTAAATGTTATGCAACTATCATTTAGATACCGCTATAGAAACGGTGGATCTATTTTTTTTTTTTTATAAGGATTGGGATTTTGTTGGCAAAACAGAGTGGGGTTGTACCTGCACGTAGCTTTGTTTCATGGAGCCTGTGCAAACAGAAAAACTATGTTGAGGTTTCTTGCGTTTTTGGAGTTTTGGAGGGATCCACCACGGTTGTTTCAAAACCTGTGGTGACAAAAGTATTCATTTGCTCAAGCACTTTAACAAAGTACCGCCTCTTTCGTCAATATGACATCTCTGGTCCATATCATCAAGTCAAAAGAAGGCAACCACAAAAAAAAATGTTGAGCATGCTTGGAAATAAAAGCTTCTCTAGACTATAAACATTACATAAGTTTATGCTATACAATTGTAACGGCTCAATCAATAGCAGCAACATGACAAAACATGTCCTCAGAATGAGTTGGTGAATTGCGGTGGATGAGGTAGCACACAGCAACACTGCAGGGAAGGCTCTGGGCTGAGTGAGAGATGTCAGCTCCCCTCTAGGGACGGCCCAACCAAGGTGACCGTCTGATTGACACTTGTCATACCATGCCGGCCCGCTGTTATCTCAGAGAACAGTCACAAACAAACTCCCTCTCGGCCTAAAGCGAACTCGACGCGGAAACAAAGGACCCAAGTCCCTTGCTCTCGCTAATGCGCAGTAGGGTCCGGAGCGGCGCCCCGTTCCGGCAGCGCTTTGGCCTGCAGAAAATCCTTCACCTTACGCCAAAGGTCATAGTCAGGCCTAGGCCGCCGGATTGCACTTGACCGGCAAAGGGAATTACAGGCACCTACCCTGCTCTACACTTGCACTATCGGCACTGGCGACTCCGGCCCGGCCGTCGCCTCGCACACCGGGCCTCAATCCGATCAGCTGTTTTGGGCCTCTGACCTGTCGCGAATGGCGGATGCTTTAATAACCTATCAAGAGAACTTTTCACGCACACTCACCTCCAGCTTGTTTCCCTTGGACTGGATCATACTAAACAATGCGTGCCTCATACAGCGAAACCATTCAGTGCTTCCGACCTCTGGTATCCGATGTTAAAATTACGGACTGTTGGAGCACTCTACGGAGCACTTTCCGTCATAGCGAACAAAGAGAAGTACGCTTTCTGGAGATCGTAGAGGTCTTGCGCCCTTTATCTGTCATTTCGCAGCATTAGTACCAAACTTGGATGCATTGAGGATTGGAGGAGGTGCTTTGAACAAAGAAGATATGTTTTCTTGTGGTTCCGATCACTAAGGTAAATAGCTGACCGTGAGCTGAGTTCACTGACAACACAAGACCTCACAAACACAAACACAACAGCGCACAACAGTGACCAACCACCTTGGTGACCAATCAGGTGCCTTTTTCGCCAGAGCAGCGATGCGATTGGTTCACCCAACGCAATCTTAATCTAAATGTTGGTTTTTGTCCGCGAGGCTAGTTAGAAATTATGAGAAACTAGTGGTCTGTTTAAAACTTGAACGGTATGAAAAACTTTTGTTGTTTAAATTCTTCGTGGGGGAAAGTTTTGTTCGTTTGAGTTCTAAAATTTCATCGGTTTTAGACATGATCTGATTGTTTTACAATAAAATTGAAAATAAGTAAGTCATTTATTTATTGTGTTTGCGCAGAGTCTGATGTACAGCATTCACTGACCTCTCATATTTTCCTCTAAATGGCATGTCCAGCAGAACACAAGCTCTTTATGGTTCTAAATACAAGTGTAAACATAACTCATATTCCACTTTCAAGGAGTTTATCAAAATAAATGGCTTACCTTAGGACACGGAATCTTCTTAGGTTTTTTCTGCTTTATGTTATTGTCATGCCTTTTTGGAATTTTTTCTACTTTTGTAAAATTCATTTACTTCATAAGAGGTTAAGTGTGTCTTGTCATCAGAATGGCTGATATTTTTTTGTTGTCCTCTGTATCTTTGACAGAAAGCAATCCTTAATGGGAATTTTTGTCTAAAGTTTCAAGAATTTCGATGTTGGTTTTTCCTTGTATAGATCTCAATGTCATGCCAAAAGAGAAAATTAGAGGAGAAGGGACAAAACACTCCAAGTCCTGGGAAGCGCACATGCTTTCAGCATGATTCCAACTCTCCACGTAAAAAAAATTCTGACCAGCAGCCTACTAGAAATATCCGAATGTATACAGGTTAGTTACATTTTTACTGCTTTTAAAATATTGTAAGTTAGGAAACATTTTTAAAAAGTCAATGATTTTACTGGAGAACTTTTTCATTGTGTAGTGACGCATTTTTTTCTTTCCTACATTTGATGTATTTTTCCTTCTTAAAAGAACAAGAAAGGAATCGAATCTTGGCTATTCTAGAGGCTGAGTTTGACAAAGAGCTAAAAGCTAAGGAAAAAGAAGTTATTGAAATTCAAGAAAGAATTCATAAAACGCAGAGGATTCTTCAGTATCTATGCTATGCTGTTGTGGCAGACTTTTACAGTCGAGAGAAGACTATCACCTCAGTTAGTACCCCCTTCTCCACCTGTTGATTTTTCATGTCAGAAATGTGATTACCAACTGATAACTTAATCAATTCTTTCATACAGGTTGCTAGCACTCGACAACGCCGCATTCATCCAGCTGTGAAGAAACTTCTCTCTGGGAAAGGCCCCCCAGGTGCACCTGAACTACCTCAAAATATTACTATTCCTGCCGACTGTTCTGCTGCCTCTGGAAGCAAGGATGCCACAGAATGTTTGGAAACTATAGATTCTGATGTATTAGCTCGTGTTGACAGCCCAAATAGTTGTGATAGCCTTTCCAGTAAGGAAAAGAAGGTTCCACGGTATATTCCACCAAAACCTAAACCAAAGCCTATTATTGGCAGTGGATCAGAACCTGTGAGAGGGGGCCAGAACAAAGTTAAAACAATGTGAGTAACTAGCTATTGTTTACCCATCATTGTACATCTATTACCTTTTTTTTTTTCAACTTTAGAAAGAGTTGGTGTCTGCTTGTTAAAATCTATTAAATATACATTTATTTATTTATTTATTGTTTTAGATTGGTTGTAGGAAATGTTTCTAAGTGGCTACCTCTTGATATGAGAGACGACTCTGCTAGTCACAAATGGATGGTGTATGTGAGAGGACCTAAGGGAGAACCTGACATATCTAGTTTTGTATCCAAAGTTCGTTTTTTTCTTCATCCTAGTTACAGACCAAATGATGTAGTGCAAGTTGTGTAAGTATACCACCATACTAGTTATTTCACCAATTATGTGATATCACCAATAATCCTAACATTATTTCAATAATTTTGTATCTTATCTTTTCTTCATTGGCAGCTGTCCACCATTTCACCTCTCAAGGCGAGGATGGGGTGAATTTCCTGTAAGAGTTCAAGTCCATTTCAGCAATAGTTTAAACAAACCAGTTGATATTATTCATAATTTGAAGTTAGACAGGACGCACTGTGGTCTTCAGACGCTAGGTAAGTAGCTAAGATGTAATAGAATTGAATGTTTACCTCTAAAGTTTTAATAATTTTAATTACAGTAGTACAGTACTATTTTGATTTTATTTATTTTGACTTTTCAAAATTGAAGTGCTTTTAGATTTTTGTTCCATCTTTTTGTTTGGGTTGACTCTTGACAGATAATGTATTCATAGTCCTTGTTTCACATCTATGGCTTTAATTTATTCATATATTCTTCTTGTGCCTACCACTGTACTGTTGCATATGACTATGCTACTCCGTGGCTGAATTGAGAAGTTGCAGTCAGTTGTATGGGCTTCTCAGAGAAAAATTGCAGTTCTTGTTTTATTGCTCTTTGTCAAGAGTACCCATGCAACTGATAAGAAGACTCTGCTAGTGTGATAGCTCATGGGCATGGGGCTCAGGTGATAAGACAAACCTCATTCAAGTGGGTGTTGGGGCTAGTGTGGCTCTGACATAATTCAATATCACCAGTATCTGTATTTCATTCATCCATTCAGTTTTACTGTCATATTGTTGGAAATTAAATTTGATTTTGTGCGGCTTAAGAACCAGAGTGCTGCTTGTTTCATAGAAATGGAAGAAACTAGAAATGTAGACCAACCCACAATTACTATTCGTTTTCGTGAATTACCGAGACATGCTTCTCGTGGTGGATTAAGTTCAAGCCAATCCCACTTACCAGTTTGTGTTGTCGGAAACAATAAGTCAGATCCTGAACTTATGCGATTTCTTGGAGCCACTCAGCGATCTCCTGAATCAGTTTATGAAGTTCAGGCAGCCCCAAATATTGTACTTGATAAGCTTAACTCAAAGGGATACAGGATGGTTTCAAAAAAAGTTGAACGAATGAAATTGTATGGTGGAGAAGAAATTGTGTTTATTTGGACTTTGACTTTCCCTGGAACTTGTTTAGTAACTAACTTGTGATCAAGATATTTGTAGAGTGTGCATATTTGCAGCTGCTGGTAGATGTGTGTGTGTGTTTTCTTTCCCACTTTTTACTAAGCACTTGTTGTTTGCATTTCAAATTGAAAAAGAAGTACTAATTGGATTTGTATACCTATATTTTATGTACAGGTTCTGAAACTGTTGCTGAAGTTTGGATTCATAGAGAGCAGCCCCAAACAGAAGTATTGTCGGAAGTAAAGTCATATGATGAGCAACAGACCATAAAACTTGAACCTGATGATTTTGATGAAAATTCCTTGGTTCTCAGCGAGGAAACTCAAAGTATTTCTACCAGCTCATCTGTAGAATTATCAAATTTATGTACTTCCGCAAAAGTAGAGTCAAAGGAATCCACTTTTTTGGAATCTTCTCAACTTATTACAGAGAATATCCAAGATGTTCCTGTGGGTGAAGCTAATGAAAAACCTTCTCAACAATTTGAGCAACTAGTTAATACAACAGCTATGACGATCAAGACAGAACCCTCATCGGAATGCGAACAATCTACACCAGTCAATAGTACCTCTAAACAAGTTTCAACTCTCAAGAGTGATCTTATCACTCCTGCAGTGACAATGCCGGCAATAGTTTGTGCACAGAGTTTAAATGAGTCTAGTCCCTCCAGCCCACAGTCTCTTGTCAAACCAGTAGTTTCTCCAAGAACAATAAGTGGTCCTCAGACAACTCAGGTTTCACCAGGCAAGGCTGGGACTCAACTTGTAAAGTGTATTGATAGTAAAGGAATGGTGCGCCTCTTGCAAGTGAGGACTGATTTATTACCTAAAATACTGAAAAAAGGGTCAACTACAATACCAGTCACTCCTCCAACAACTCAAGTAATCCCTGCTTGTATAAATACATGCCAAACTGCAAGTCCAGCGCCACCTTCAACCCCTGCGGATGTTGCACTCCCTATAACAAAAGTTGTACAACAAACTTCTGTTTTGGAGCTTGGAAAGACCACTTCAGCGCAAGTGTCAACAGCAACCCTTGTGCCCAAATCAGTTGTTCAGCCTCCTATGTCACAGGTGATATCTCAAACATCGACTACTATCCCACAGGTGATTCCAAGCTCTTCAAAAGTTGCACTAACATCACCTATAAAAGTTCAAGGAGCACAAAGTGGAATTTCTATTCCGCAAGGAGTCAGACCAATCCTCCGATTTGTGCGTCCTGCAGGAAATGCAAGACCTATGCTTATTACTCCAAACTCAACTTCTCAACAGTTCATTCGACTTCCTGCCAATGCTACAAGCACAGCCAACCGCCCACTTTATGTTCTAAAAGATGGGAAACTTTTTATGATGAAAAGTGCTTTCAATGCTGCTTCTGCTACTAAAGTCATTCCTGGTGCCTCATCTGCAGTAAGCACAACTGCAAATAAAATCATCTCAGAAAATCTTACAAGCAAAACTGAATGTAAATCAATTGTGTCAAGTACCTTGCTCAAGACTACTGTAACTAAATCAGTGGATCCCATTATGACTGCAAAAGTTGCACCCCCAGTTACTTCTGTCATGACAAGCAGTCTTTCCCAAATCAATGCAAATGTGAAGAAATCTGGTGATGTGCAAACAGGGGATACAGTTTTGGTCACCCCTAAGCCTAATCTAACAGTGAATGCAGGAATAGCCCTCAAACCAAGGTCATCTGCTGCCATTGTACCTATGGTCCGATTATTATCTCCAAAACCTGGCCCCATTGTAGATACAGTCATTCAACCAGTGAATAAAATTAATTTAGCTCAACAGTTTACTCATCCTCAAAGTGTTTCAAGCCCAACAAATGCTCCCAAGACAATTGTAAAGTCTGGAAAGAGCCTTCTGAAACCTGCTGTTAGTCTTTTAAAATCAAATGTAGGAGTAGGTATCGCAACAAACAATGTGAATAAGCCATCACCTATGCCTACGAGCCTTCAAAGCTCAGTGAAAGTACCCACCTCCTCTCAACCCCCACCATTAGTACCAGCTGTAGAAAGTTTCTCTACAACTAAACGCATTGTACTAGGACGAACCTCAGGATCTTCCACCATCACAACTTATTCTCAACAAGCTCTTTTGTACAGAGAGATTCTTAGGTGAGTCCTGGTTTCCAGTGTTAACAAAATTGATTGATACTAAAGCTTTATTAGCAGTCATTTAACAGAGTTTTCATTGTAGGTCAAGTATTCGAGCATGCCCTAAAGGTCCAGAGGAAGATGTTTGGCGAGCAGTACGTTGGATGGTTAAAAGTTTACCGCTTATTAACCGTGAAGCAAAAAACCTAGAATTCAAAATCCTCCATCCATATTGTGCCCCTGATGAAAAAACTTTCTGTTCGTGGAATATTGGAAAGCAACGGGCCTGTGAAGTTAGTTCATGACCAATATGTTTGGCTCTTTTATTAAAAATTTGTTATCTACATTTAATTTTTAAAAATTTGTTCCAGTGGCAGCGAGCTAAGACCGTGCGCTTATTATTGAAAGAAATGGGCTGGGACCTACAAAATCTTTGGACAACTCGAGAAATAATATTATGGGCCCGTTTTCATGGTTACACCCCTGGTCTTCCTGTTTTGAAAAACCTACAGCCTGGGGATACTCATTGTGGTATGACTAATTTTCATTTCATTCCAAGCAATTTTTGATCATTTCCTTTAACTTATCATGACAATCTTCTGCTGTAGATGGTAATTGTGCAAACCCAATGGCAGCTATTTGTAGTTATGGTAAAATATCTACAGTGGAAGAGTCTCTAGACATCTTGCAAAAACCATCATCCTTTGCAAATGCTTATCAGCCTCCTGAAATTGTCAGTTTGTCTGATGAATCTGATGAAGAAGTTGATATAATTAGCAACACTAGTACTCCATCCAAAGGTACAAAAATACTACTGTTACTCTCAAAGTTTCACATCCAGTTTCTAGTATTTAATTTCACCACCTTTCATTATATTTCAGTTAAAGTCAAACAGGAAATAGAAAATATTAGTAATTTGGATAAGTTGGAGAAAATGCCTCTTGATCCCTCTTTACATTCATTGGGTGACATGGTAACAAGGTCATTGAATAGTATTGGAATCCATCTGTCATCACAAGAAGTAGCTCCTGGAGTGCAATACCCTGCTGCACAGAGAATGCTTATACAGGTAAATATTTCAATAAAACATGTAGACATTGTCATGGTTATAAAAAATAGTAAAAGAAAAAAAAAAATTGTATTTCAGGCTGTGCAATCATTAGCAGAGGATTTAGCTAGAAGAGCATTTTCAGAAGCTTGGGGCAAAGATAATTTCACCAGGTAAGATAAAAGAGCTGTCCTCTTAAGAAATCAAAAGGAACCAATTTTTATTTCTTTTATTATTTGTTTTGCAGACAACCAGGGAGTTTAGAAACGTCAAACATATGTAGCGCCATTTGTCACCGACCTGAATTTGATATTTTTACCTGTGCAGGACTTGGTATTTCGTCAATTAGTGATAATCTTCCTTCTGGAAAATAATTATTTAAAAATCAAAAGCTGTGCGATATGTTTTGGGGTAAAAGCTCGTATTATAGTTTGATTTTTGTATGAAGGGATGTTGATGCAAAGCCTCAGATGGTTCATGATGGAACGCAACTGTGTATTTTTTTTATTTTTTTTTTTTTCCTCTTTTTGTGTGTTTTGTATGGTTACCAGTTTATCTGAAAGTTGCAACTTGACCAAAAATCTAATGTTCTGTAATGACTGAGTGTTTATTATGTTTTAAAACATCTCAATGAGAAGTTTAAAAATTTTATGAGGTTGTTTGTTTCTCAATGTTTAGAGTTTCTAATTTTGGTAATTGTAATTTATTTGTAGATAAAAATGTACTTTCATATTTTCTTACCACCCAATTTTGTCCTGTCCTGTACTTTCTTAAATGAAACAAGTCTTGATAATATGTGTTTTAAAGTGATTTGAATGAATCACTCCATGTGTTGAATGAATTTGGTTGATCAGTTTCTCCATTGTTCTTTCCCGTTAATGTCAAAACTTTTCGCAATGTCAAAACTTTTGGCTGATGTAAAAATTAATAAAAACAAAGAAACCAAATAAATGTTATTTATTCAACAGAATATGGTACTGCAGTTTCTATACCTAAATGTTCTTAAACCTGATCTGTTTTGAATATTTCAGAAAGTTTTGCTCTGTCTGATCTGTGCATAAAGAACAATAACTGCTTTTCTATTCTTTCTACAGCAGAAAGGGTCAGAACTAGAGTATCATGCTTAAGCATACTGAACACGTTCAAACCTGAAACAGAAATGAATGCTTAAAGTGAAATAGACTTTGACAAATATTCTGTTGGGTTGAAAGGTGTAATACTTACCATAAACAGGTATGATGTTCATGTGCTTAATCTGATCAGCAGCCACTGCTATGTTTTCTGGAGCTACATCAGTGCTATAAAAAGAGAAAAAGATTTGTAATAAGATAGTCTAGTCTTTACTTACTATTGTAAAGGAGGCACATCTGTATTTACTTACTCATCTACAAATAACACTGATGGACCCCATAGACGTTCTTCAGCTAATTCCTCAAGATAGGATGGATCATTTGTTGGTATGTCAAGAGCATTAACAATATGTAAGTCATCCTGGGTGAATGTATATAGGAGAAGATTGGAAATTGATCGACATATCAGAAGCAGGTGATACTGTATTATTTCAAGAAATCCTTACCTGAGCCATCTTTACAGACAGTGTTGATCTCAACCCATACAAACGAGTGTGTAATGGAAGCATGTAAAACCATGTAGTGGGTGCTCTCGGACCATGAACTTTGCCTCCATGCACCCACTGTGGTGCTCGAATACTACCTTGACGAGCTTTTCCAAGGCCTTTTTGCTGCCATGGCTTTCTACCCCCACCTCGCATCTCAGCTCGGTTGTTAACTTGCACAAGATTCTTAGAAAAATGTTAAAAAATCACAAATTTAGAATGGACCCATTAATGCTGAGAACAAACATATTACTCGGATGGCTTTTAAAAGGTTAGGATAATATAAATGCTACATACCACTTTCCTGTACAATTGCTGCCATCGTATATTACTATGAATCATATCTATGCGAGGAGGGATTGCAAAAATATCGGGATGTAAATCAACCATTCCTAATTTTTTCTCTTGTACGGTATCCATGTTTTCAACCCAAGCCATTCTTGATCGACCATCATTTGTTGGGAATTCCAGATCACGAGATACTATCATAGGTGATTGGAACCCCTCAGCAGAAATCTGTTCAACTGCGTTACAAACAAAATAGAAAATTACATTTCTTAAACTTAGCAGCGACTAACCTATGCTAAGGTGTAAAATAAATTAAGAG